TGCTTCCAAACAAGCAGAAAGGCACAGGCGTTTCTGCAAAGCCTGGCCTGAGTCCGCGACACCTGAGGGACGCACAGCTGTGGTTGTACCTGGTGGGACTCGTGGTTGGCTTGGCCATGCCTTCCCAGAGTGGGAAGAGCATGCTCCCACCATATAAATAAAAAGCTGTGAAGTTTCATAGTTTGAGAAACGTGTTCTTCACCCGCTCTAACCAGGAGACCCAAAATCTGTCCCCATCTGGGCCACAGACAGTGCTGGGGCACAGACTGACAGGGTGCTGACATCTTCCACCGGTGGCCAGATCTGGATCATCCAGAAGCCCCTTCCACAGATTCTCATCATGCCAGGACAGTGCTACAGCCTTCCTCGGCTTTCTCACGTGGTTGTGGAGCTGCAGCTTAGCTAGTCCTGCCTGAAAGCATTCTCTGAGATTTGCAAAGCAGAACCCACTCTCTGATATTTATTAGTCGTGCTCCAGCCTCGGTGAGCTTGAGAGACCTTTTACTGTGTTCAGCAGTCAAAACTGCAAACAGCACAGGGAGATTTATGTCTCTGAGCATTGGGTTGAACGGGCGCAGTGGATTTGGAAAGGAAGTGGTTCAATTAACGACGATAAGGATGGGGAAGGAGGGGCTGTTCTACTCGCACATAAATTGGAATAAGATGTCAGGTATCAATACAGAATTTCTGGAAAAACCCTTGTAGTATTTTTCCATCACGGTTCCCAGCAAGACTGTGCTGAGTCTTTTCGCTTTGCACTGAAAGGCGGCACACGTCAGCCCCTGGGATCTGCTGAGGAGTGGGATGTTAGTGCTGCTCCAGTCTTCCCGTGGCACAAACTGGAAGAAAAGGTCCACTGGTTCCGTGCACCCCGAGACGTGCAGGTGTCAACAGGGTGGGTGCCCAAAACTGCTACTTCAAACAGTCAGAAATTAAGAAAGAAGTGTGGGGTGGGTGTAAAAAAGGCTGTGCTGGGCAGAAAAGTCATATTGGTTGGGTGAGCAGCACGACCAACCTCAGAAGGTGCAATAGCTGATTGAACACACCTATTTGAGAAGGGGCAGGTGCCCTCATTTGCTGAAATACTGTGTAAGAGGCATAAAAGACTGCTTGTTTTCCTCTTAGTTTGTGTTTCTGAACAGGCATGTTTAATTTTAGCAGCAAAGCCTCCTACCCACAGGGGTCAGCTGCTTTGACCAGATGGGATCTAAACTGGCGTTATTTCTGATCACTGTGATGATGGGCTTTCTCCAGCAGTTGCTTCCATTCAGTCTCATCTCGTTCCCTCTTTTTCCACTAACCAATTTCTCTCCTTCGTCCCTTTCTCCATCCGCAGATCCAACCAAGACCCAAGCAAGGACGTCCCACGAGCACTGCGAGGACTCCTGCACCCAGCTTTGCCATTTGGTCCTCAATGGCGAGAATCCTATCTCCCACCACGCTAGCCATTTTCCTGACTTGTTTCTTCTTTGGGGCACATGGCCAGACCCCAAGGGCTTTCCAGGAGAGCACCGTCCCCTTTGGGGTGCTGAGCCAGGAGCAGGCTTACAGCCTGGTCCAGCCAAGCCTGTTCCAGGGTGCCAAGCTGTCGAACCACTCGGAGAACCTCCCCAGGAGCACCAGCTCTGAGCCGCCCCTGCTGCCCGTCTGCGTGAAGCCTGCAGATATCAGACACATCTTCAAGTACATCAACACCATTGTGTCCTGCACCATCTTCATAGTAGGGATCATCGGGAACTCCACGCTCCTGAGGATCATTTACAAGAACAAGTGCATGAGGAATGGGCCAAACGTCCTCATTGCTAGCTTGGCACTCGGAGACCTTCTTTACATCCTCATTGCTCTGCCCATCAACGTATATAAGGTAAGCTCCCCGCGGCACGAGTGCCGCAGCAGCCTGGCGGTTGCAGGGATGGTGTCTGCTCCCACCTGCCTCGGTGCCCTGGGGAATATCTACGCTCTGCTCTTTATTGCAGGCTCCATTTGTGCAAGGGAGAGGGGGAGGGTGCTCCTGCTCTCCAAAGGATGAGAAAAAAATGAACAGACGAAAAGCTCAGAGCACATTCCTGGGAAAACAGAGGTGTTGTCAGCTACAGCTGTGTTGTGCACACACACACACAAGCACACGACCTTCCAGATCTTTTAAATCTCATTTAAAATCACAAGAAAAGAATCACTTGGAGTCTCCTGACATTACAACCCGATGTTTATTTCAGCTGAGCAAAAATTAATGTTCTTGTGCACTGGGGACACTTCTCCCAGCACTGTTCAGTTAATCAGCCTCAAGCAAATATCTTTTTTATTCTAGCTAAACGTGAAGACTCATCCAGGAATGAGGAAGAAGGCTGTATTATAACATAGGGGCTTCTTTCAGAGGCACCGCCGCCTAAGCTAGGGAGAAGAGGCACAACAAATAATCAGGGGAACCTGAGCTCTGCGTGATGCAGTGGGACAGAGAGGGCCAGGCAGATGTGGGCAGCAGACCTGAGACCCCACTTAAGAGTAGGAGATGTGTTACAACGTCCGTGAGATGTGTCTGGGCTATTGCAGGTCTTTCTCGCCCACTGCTTGAGACAGGCTTTGGTGGGCTGGAGCCAGAGGTTTCTATGAGGGGTTGGAAGGGATGCCATGGGGTGAAGGACTGGGAGCTCAGATTTGCTTGTCAAAGGGACAACCTGCCCTCAGGACATCTTGTCCCCACTGATACCCTCTGCTTGCCCCAGCTGAGCTTGGGGCCACACTGTATGTGTTCGATAAGGAACCTAAGTGTGGAAGAGGGTCAGAGTATGGTAAGGGCTTAAGACTACATGGCTTTGAATGCCACCTGAAAGAAGCTGTCCTTGCTGGATGTTGGCTGTTTCAGAGAATGACACCCATTTTCCCTCTGAAAGCAATCCAAAGCCCATAGTGGCATTTAGGATTCAGCTCCATCCAAAAAAATCATGGGGTATGGATTCAGAACCTGGTGTCTGGACCATCCTTCCATCTGCATGACAACTCATCTCACAACAAGCCCTTTGGGAAATGAATGGTTCCCAGTACAACACAAAATACCGGAGAGCGCACACCGCGTAATCCCAGCGGAGGTAACCTCAGAGTGCTTTCAGCTGCTCTTTGTGGGCTTCTCACACCTTGTGGGTAACCACCCGCTATTACGGGAAGCCGGACACGCTTTCCGGAAGCAGCTTGTTAACCCTGCGGTTCTTCCCCAGCTCTTGGCAAAGGACTGGCCCTTTGGTGTGCAGGTGTGCAAGCTGGTCCCCTTCATCCAGAAGGCTTCAGTGGGCATCACGGTCCTCAGCCTTTGTGCACTCAGCATCGACAGGTAAGAAACAACTTCTACAGCTGCACTGCCCAGCCTGACCCATGTCCTTTCATCGTAAGCAAGAGGCAGACTGAGGGGCGGCTCGGACCCAGGCCAGATTCAGAGATGGGACAGGGTGCTGTCACATAGAGTTGGAATCCGACAGGAACTGACTCTGGTGACAGAGTTTAAATCCTGCTGGAAAAGGTTGAGGGGATGATTATGATGTGCTGGAACAACTGCTGGGGTGGTGGGGAAGGGTGGCACCTCCCCAGTGGCAAGTAGACATTGGCCAAGGATGGCTACCATCCCATTCATCCACTGAGCCCCTGTTGCTGATCTTTCTCATTCCACTGAAGGGGAAGGTTCCGGGGTGGAGGAGGAATGCGTAAGGGAGAGGGCCTTTGAGGACAACTCTAATCTGCACCTTCTCACCCCCTTCCTGATGGCCACTCTTCTCACTCCAATCTGCTCTTGTTGCGTTCCCACACGTTGGGCAGGTACCGAGCAGTAGCGTCCTGGAGTCGGATCCAGGGGATAGGAATCCCCATGTGGAAGGCAGTGGAGGTGATGCTGATCTGGGTGGTGGCCATTGTGCTTGCAGTCCCCGAAGCTATAGCCTTTGACATGGTGGAGCTCAGCTACTGGGAACAACACCTGTGGGTGTGCATGCTTGCCTCTGAACAGAAATCCAGCTTCATGATGGTACGTACCCTGTTCCACCTCAGCTGCAGCACAAGGGAGGGGGAGACACAGGTAACCAGGGCATCCTCCCTCCTTGATCAGAGGCTTAGATGCTTCTGTAAATGGCTTCTTCTAGCCATCGGGGTGAACACAGGCAGAGCAGGATCAGACAAAGCACAGAACACCCAGCATTGCAGTAAGATGGGGCAGACTGGCTTTGAATGTGGGGCCAGAAAACAGGCAGATGGTCCTTAACCTGTGCTGTGTCTTCATGCCAGGACATCATGACCATCTCAGGAAGCTTCAGAACATGTTACACTGTCCCAGCAGGCTGAAGAGTGTCTCCACAACCAGTGTGCATGGGCGATCTTCATCACAGGGTCAGCTAAGGGTGTGAAGGGGAATGAGGACCCTTACAAGGTGTCAGAACTTATCCCACCGTGTCTACCAAATAAGCTCCTTGCAACTGTTTCTTGCCCAAGAGTGCTAGATTGGCAGCTGGATGTAAACAGCATTTACTTCTTTACATTAAACGCATGCACCAGCCTTGGGGGAAGATAATCCCATGTGCATTCAGCACAGGAGCTGGTACACGTTCACACAGCAGAAATGTCTGATACAGGACAGCATCGGTGTCAGGGACCGGGTTGGTTCATGCCCCAGGTACCCCCTGCCCTGTCCCCAGTTTCCAGTTGCTCTTTCTTTTGCATACAGTTCTACCGTGATGTGAAGGACTGGTGGCTTTTTGGCTTCTATTTCTGCCTCCCCTTGGTATGCACTGGCATCTTCTACACCCTCATGTCATGCGAGATGTTGAGCAAGAGAAATGGCATGAGAATTGCTCTGAACGACCACATGAAACGGGTAAGAAAACCTGGAGGGCAGAAACTCCGATATTTCCCAATTTCAATTTCCTGTGGCCCAAAACAGGAGGGAGTGCTGTCGAAGGGGAGAACACGCATCTGTCCCTGTAAAGGACACGTATGAGCTGACATATAGCCTCACAGTGGTCAACGGATATTGGCACACTGATGCAGATGCATGGATTAAACCAGGGCGATGAGCCTTCAGCTCTACAATCCCCAGTGTCAGGGACCACCCAAACCACTAGCCCTATGGCCATGGACCAGCCTGATTTTCAATTTCTTATGGTCATTTATCTCTGGCCGTGCTGTGCCAGCCCAGATCACACCAAACTGGACCAAATGCTTAATGTGCTGTATCACAGGCAAGGACTGCAGGGGAAAGAACAGTTTTGCAGAACAATCCCTTGAGGCAGACTGGCTGGTTGTCACAATAATACAGTGTGAAGGGTGGATGGATGAGGCCCCCGTGTCCCAGGGAGTATCATCATCCCAGCAAAGTCACCTGGAGCAATGGTGGGAAGGGATCTGGTCCATATTGTGCTGCTGGTGGCCTACCCCTTTCTGCAGCCTGGATCTCAGAGTCCTCCTCATGATGCAGGATTTGGGACCTGAAGGTTGTGCTTTGGACTCACAAGAGGTGCCCAGCCATCATCAGATTACAGAAATTACTTGAAGGGCCCTTGCTCAGTACGAGGAGATGGTGCTTTCCTCCACCCGCTCTCCAATGTTCAGCCAGACCATCCCTTCTGTCCTGCCCACCTTCTCTCCACAGCGCCGGGAGGTGGCCAAGACTGTGTTCTGCCTCGTGGTGATCTTTGCACTCTGCTGGCTGCCACTCCACCTCAGCCGCATCCTCAAAAAGACCATCTACGACCAGACGGACCCCAACAGATGTGAACTGCTCAGGTAGGGGCATCAGCAGGAGGGGACCATGCTGGGAGCCCCTGCGGGCACCGGTGGAGGCTGTGCTGGGCTCATCGCGGGCTGGTGGAATTGCCTTCCAAACACCTTGTTTCAATAGCTCCTTTCTAGGTGGCATTGCTCTCCTGATAGGCACAGAGAAGGGGGGAACACCATAAAAAGAGAAGAAATTAAATTTTGAAATGTGTCTATAAAGCTATGGGTTAAAGAGGTCTCCTGGGCAGAGAAACATTCCCTGCAGGGCTAAAGGGACTGCAGCAAGTCTGAGAGCTGTGCACACTTTCTGCCACGTGTTAGGTGCCCGTCTTCCCCTCTCCTCTTTACCCATCACACCAAAATCCAGTTCAGGCCAGACACTGCTACTGTGCTTGACTTTGAGAACATAAAAGTCACCAGGGGAAATCAGATCTTACGCTTTTGGTTTCCTCAGGAAATGCTCCTGGCAAGAAAAAGTGTTGGGCGATTGCCCAGCTCAGGAGTTTGTGCTGTTTTGTGCTCACCCATTACCAGTCGCTGCCCTCCGTGGAAGCCGGTTCCCAGGCCAGCCAGTTTGCAGGCAGTTTGGGAACCCTCCTCTGTTCTCCACTCAGTGACCTTCCAACACGTCCACCCTCTTCTCTCCCCTCCTGCCTCAGTTTCCTCCTAGTGATGGATTACTTCGGGATCAACATGGCCTCCCTCAACTCCTGCATCAACCCCGTGGCTCTCTACTTCGTCAGCCGGAAATTCAAGAACTGTTTCCAGGTACGGTTGACCCCTCCAGAGCTCCTGGCTACGGTGACCATTCCCAGACACCAGTCCCAGGGGCACAAGGTCGCACGGACCAGGCACGGTGCGGCCAGAGGCACCCCCGTCACGGTGGACTTCTGTGCTTACGGGATGAGGGGGAAGGTGGAGAGCGGTTTGCAAACACACCCAGCTAGCAGCAGCAGAGACAGGTCTGGACCTTGCAGCTCCTGGCTCCCAGACAAATGCCCCATCAGGGACACGCTGGGGCTGCCAGCAGCCCACAGGATTCCCCCATTTGCTCACATAGTGATCGTATTTCTCCTCCCAAATTTCCCCCCTGCTACGTGCCTCTCTTCCCAGCTTCAAGTACACGAGAGCTCACCTCGTGCTATGGGGAGGCTTTTGCAGGACCTAGGACAAGCCAAAAATGTCCCTGTCGTTCTGGATCAGAAGCATCCCCACAAACCATCAGACCAGGGACTGGGGCTGCTTTAAACTTCAAACCCAGGTATTTGCAGATAATTTTCAGGAGCAGAGGAGCCCTGAGAGAGGAAGGGGAGGAGATGGGATGGGACGGGATGGGATGGGATGGGATGGGAGTCACCTCCCAGCTGCTGTGGCCAAAAGAAGAGTTGAGCCCAGCTAAGCATTACCTGTATTTTCCGTCCCCCGAGGACGAGAAAACACAACTGCAAAAGGTAGCCGAGATTTCGGTATCTTCATTTCCAATCCACACCAGCCCTGTCTCGGAAAACCTGCTCCCAGCAGATCTGCAGGACAGCAAGGCTCAGAAGTGCAGGCTGAGATTCCCAGCCCGGCACTGCGCAGGCTGACTTGCCAACATCAGTGAGGGAATGTTTCCTCCTCTTTCACCCTGTAGCCCACGGTTGTGACCTCTCCTTCCACCCTCTTGTCTCCTCGCAGTCCTGCCTGTGCTGCTGGTGCCAGAGACCGGCTCTGAGCATCACGCCGACAGACGAGAAGGGCTCTGTTGGGAAGTGGAAAGCCAACGGGCAGGAGCTTGGGCTGGACCGGAGCAGCTCCCGCTTGAGTAACAAGTACAGCTCTTCCTAAAGCCGTGCCACCCGCGGGGCCGAGAGGAGAAGGCACTGTGCCCAGATGGCAGGACCCCTCCATTTCTCTTGCACGGCTGTTTCCCGGCTGGGCCTGAATCGTTTTTGCCTTCGTGTCGTAACCCACGTGGAAGGGCCCCTGGGACTAGCTCTGAACACAGCCTCTGAACCACGCTGATCCGTCCTCCGGTCCGAGCCGCCTCTGGAAGAGGGGGAACGGGATTCAGATCCTTACAGGACTTTTCATTTCCTTGCAGGAAAACCCAGCGATTTACGGCCATTTGTCTCGGGTGGAAACGTGGGGTGGGGAGATATGTGTGAAAAGGGAAGGGAGGTTGAGATGTGGCCACTTTGAGATGGATGTGGGATGAGGAGGAGAGGGGAGCACCGTGAGTCTGGGTCACAGCAGGTAATTCAAGGCCAAGAGATGCACCGAGCAGAGCCAGCTTCAGCCCCAAATCAGACAAGCTGAGGATGCACGTGCACGGATGCAAGGAACGTGCCATCCTCTGTCCTGTCCGTCTCTGCCCTCCTGGCACACACACTGCCCTTCTGCTAGCCCAGGTGCCAGTTTTTAGCCGGTTTGTTCCAACCTGCCCCTCAATGCCAGTCACAGGGCTGCCCTTAATTAAAAAGAAATAATGCCAAATGAATTGGAGTTGTCAGAAGACACGATCCAGGCAGAGAGTCAGGAGAAGCAGCTTTCTTTAGAAACAAGATCGTTCCGGACCCAGGAGGGATGCGGCACCAGCTCGTTGTACCAGGACAGGGGGAGGGAAATACTGAGGGGACACAGGCACCAGCTAAAACACACTCAATGCCTCAGAGAAGCAGGAGAGAGCATCAAACTCTGCATGTCCTCCTGGCAGAGAAGCGACAAGCGCCAAAAAGGGTGAAATAGCAAAGAAAAAAAGAAGCTTAGGAGTTTATAGACCTGTCCCTGGTTGCTGCAGCCCTCCTTGCTGCAAAATAAAGTTGGTCCCAGCCTCATCATGTTAAAACGAGCAAAGCACACAGCCATGCAGTTCAGTGCCTGCCAGCAGCTGAGCAAGGGTTGTTCTGTCGCATACTTGCGCGGTGCATGGGAACAAGTGTGTTTAAATGCCCAGCTCCCATTGATTGCAGTGAAGATGGAAGCACCTTGACAATTTTCCAGCAGGGACCTTTGGTCACGCCATAAGGAGCAGTGTCCCGGCCCCCGAGGAGCCACGATCCTCTCATCAGGACAGGCAGAACAGCCAGGACCTGCTAATATTCACAAGGCAGACACCAATTACAGGCACACAGGGGAATCCTTTTACCTTACTTAACCTCCTGGGCCCCAAGCGGCTACTGGCTCTTTTTATGCTCCAGGAGCAGATTTAATCACTCCTGCATTAGCAGCTACACTCAGATCAACATTTTAGCATTAAATGGTTCAAAACCGGTCTCAGATCTGCACATTATTAATATTGCAACAAACAGACTGACACGAATTCATCCCAGCTCTGGACGTTGCTATCACTTGCTGCATGTCTGTTTAACAGTGACTTTTTGGTATCACCTCCCCCTTGTGTTTTCCTCCCAGATGTCTCCTATTAAAACCAATGTTGTAAAGTTTGAGAGGGGAGAGGAGAGCTGAGATACCAGCTGGAAACAATAACCCTTTTAAAGCTCCTACATTGGGTTAGCATCCAGGCAGCATTTTCCTGGCCCTAGAAGGTCTCCCTTAGGCTACAACCAACATCAGGACCAGCAAGTTTCAGCTCAGAGGGGAAGTAGTGAAGATCAGAAAAGAAGGAACACATGCACAAGCTGCTTGTAGCTGCTCATGGAAGTGCAAATGCAAAGGCAGCTCCTTGCTGCCAGCTCCTGTTGCCCATTCACAAGGGAGAGCCGTACAGTTACCGGCATGCCCATCCTTCCCTCGCTTCCTCGGGCAGAGGGTGTCCAGGACAGTGTGGTCCTTCCAGCCCAGCTCAGGGAACACATAACTGGCCCACAGCAGCCCCTGGACATTGGGTTTCAAGACCTGATAAATATTCTCCATGACACCTGGGCTGAGATTGAGCCCAGGTGTATGAGTCTGCTCCTGGCTTATTGACGCCTTCACCCTCTCCCCCTGCCCCAGGAAAACCACTTTACTGCGTTTTTACGTCTCCCTCTTGTCCTGCGTGTGGGACCACGCTGGCATGGGCAGGGTGAATCCCTTGCCGCAAACTGAGAGGCAAAGGAGCCTTGCAGGGTTCAGCTGGCTTCTCGGCCTAACGCCTGCAAACACAACTCCACCACAGCCTGTCAGAGAGACCAAGTCTGTCAATTTGTATTTGAGAGAATGATTTTTCTAGAGAAAACCTGACATTTTACACCCTCCCTTTTATTCCTCCTTTTGTTAATAAAACATGTTGGTGTTTGAAAGGAAAATCTCTGGGCGTTTCTTATTAAGCAGCAGGGGGTCTGCAAAGTCTGCTAAATACTTAATTGAGTGTCAGCAGGTTCCTTTGGTAGCTGAGACCTCCACCACAGAGACAAGCGGTGTCCCCTCTGTGCAGAGCAAACCGGAAAGGTTCACAATCCTGCGCCCGGCACGGAGCAGAAAAACTCCCGCAATTTCATGCCCCATTACACTCAACAAAAGGCTTTCACTGGGCGAGCTGCCAGCAGATCCGAACACGGCCAGGGTTTCAGCCTTGCACCCTTTAAACGTGTGCACGAGTTGTGGCCTGGGTTTGCCTTTGTCTGCGTTCTTCAGGGGGTTAAAAAAGGCAAGTAGTTTTCTTTACTCACCTCACCCCCCAAATGAGCAGAATATCATTTTATAACGATCTGTTTAAAAAGGAAGGCTGGCCCTATCTGATGAAGTCAACTGCGCTGGTACCAGTAACAGAAAGATTTAAATCAGGAGAGGGTGCTGCTGCTCTAAAACCTTGATTTTACACAGCACTGAACACCTTTGCTTCCTGTGGACTCTGGGGTCGACTAATTCTGTGCACCAGACTACCTCCAAACTCTGCGATCTATACATCGTGGGCAGGAAACAGTAACGACACTCTGAGGGAAAGAAAGAAGATGGAAGAGTGAAAGAGCTGCCTTCGAGCTATCATTTTCCGTGCCTGTGTTGAGCTGAACACAGTGTCACCTCTGCAGCATCAAAATTCATAAACTTTATTATCAGAGAAAATACGGGTTTGCATCAAAGCAGCCATAAAAACCCAACCAACCAAAAACTCTTGACACAGGGAATTCAACACACCGACGTTAGACGCATCCATGGGGACTGCCATCCCCAAATGCTACTGCATCTCTTCCTCCCTCTGGGCCCTGTATTCCTTCATGCTCCTCTGCAAACAAGAGCAAAGGACAAACGTTAACAGCGTGTATCTGAGTGACTCACGTACCACAGTGCCACCACCCTGGTCTGTCCAGGGCCTGGAAACGGTGAGGGACCTGAGAAGCTCTGACAGAGCTCCAGGTACTTTCACAAGTGCCTGGGCTTTACAGTGACTCCAAGGGAAAGGAAGCCAGGCCACGCTGCGGGTCAGGCAGAGAATATCGGAAAAACAAGTGTTTCATGTCAAAAGTGCCTATGACACAGGGCTGAGGCCATTCCTCTCCCCTCTGAGACCAAGAGATAGAAAAGGCCCCTGAGCTCTTCAGGAATAGTCTCACCTCAAAGGTGTTGAGCACGTGTTGGCAAACACCCATCAGGTCGTTCAGCCCCTTCCGGAACGGCTCAACTGCGGGAAGGGTTCCTTCAGGAAAGAAGATGCGTTAGTGAAATGGGAGGTGGCTTCCAAAGGGGTTGGTAGCCCTCTTCCTCGCCGCTCCGAGGCAGCCCAAGGGCAGTCCCCATGACAGAAACAAATTATCTCATTGTCAGCACACTTTGGCTTTCTTTTCCAATCCCCGTGGTGATTTAGGGGCAGATGGAGCACCCGTCGCCTGTGACAGTGAGTAGCAGATCGACTCCACCCCTGCACTGCAGTTCGGTGCCTGCCGCCAGCCAACCCAGATACCAGGGACCAGGCAAGGCTGTGGGCTCCTCGGGGCTCGGCTGGCTCAGCCCTTCAGCTGGGAAACAGAAGAGCTGTAGCACAACGGCTCAGAGCAGCCCCTCCAGCTGAGCAACAGGGCACAGCAGTTGCAGGTGGCTAGCAGAAAAGGGGGAGAAAAGTGCTTTTCTTTATTTAAATGACTCATGGGGGAAACCTGACATGAGCAGGGTGAATTCCACAAAAAAAGGGCCCCGGACACAAAGGAAACACACACATCCATACCTCTGGTCTGGATTCGGAAGTTGATCTTGCTTTCAGAGGGGTGTGTGATGCAGTAGCCACAGAACTCCACATCAGGGCTGCAGGAGGGGAGAGAGGAGAAGAGAGCAGTGAAACCCAAGCCAATCCACAGGAAATCTCAGGGAAGTCAGAGGCTCAGGCCAGCCCAGACCTGCTGGGGCTCAGGATGTCTCTGAAATGACTGAGGGTCTTACGGGAGGGACGCGCTGAAGGGAAACTACCTGTGTAAGCTTATCCACACCCCCCACCTGTCTCTGAGCTGCAGCTGGAGCTTTGCAGAGAAGGGCACGGCTGGCACGCAGGCACCATCCTGGCACTGGCAGGCCTGCAGAGTTCACACAGGGGATCCTGGTTGCTCGGAAGCCTCACTGCACACAAACCTGCTGCAGTTCTGCTGGGCAACACGGGCTGAGGGGCTAGGGCGCTGCAAGGATTTGTCAAGGTTTGCAGGCTGCACGGCATCTGCCTTCATAAGCTGAGGCGGTTGGTAGAACATCTGTGTGCCCAGCAGAAAGAACAGCCCTTTGCAAGAAGCCTGCTGTTTTTCTTGCCATGGTGATTTATCGGAGGAATTCACATGACATTTGCAATGTAACTGCCATTTGAGATGATGCACTGAACTTCCTGCTGTAATTCTTGCGAGGCTTACCAGCAGATCTTCACAAACCTGCAGTGCTGCCCAGTTTGATAAAATCGGGCCACCAGGGTGAACCTATTTGTATATTTTGACCGGGGCAGCAGGATAATTAATTCCCAGCACCAATTCCTGCATCTCCATGCAAGCATGAAAGATGATCAATTTGCTTAATGCTGGCTGTTCCTACCCTCTTTTCTGACAGCGCTTGTCCCAGAAGGAGACATAGATACTGCCTGACCTCGTGCACTTACACGGAGTTCTGCATCATTTTACCCAGCGCCAAATAAGACATTCAGAAGTCTTTCACATGTCAGACATTAAATTTCCTCCGTAAATAACCGTCAAGGAGCAGTGAGAGCTGGCTGTTCCCTAAGGGATGGGGAGCTGGAAGCCACAAACGCTAAGACAGCCGACAGGGCAGAGGCCTCACTAGCTAACCCCATCCCACAGCACCCAAGCGAGGGAGTAGGGTGGGTGCAAAGGTGGTAGCCAGGGTCAGCCAAGGGTCCGGATCGTCAGGTAGCTTTGTGGGGATGAAGCAAGTCCGAGGTCAGGCCAGGAAGTCAGTCTGCAGGTCAGTGTCATGTGAGGTGAGGGTACTGAGGGTCAGACACTACCCAGTGATCACCCAGCAGGAGTACAATGATGAGGAAGGGCTCAGGTCAGGTCAGGATGTCAGTCCATAGGTCAGCATCCAGGTGAATGGAGTCCACAGCCCAGTACAGCCTGAGCTGGAGACCCATACTCCTGCAACACAGCTCAGGAGGGACTGAAAGCTCTGAGCTGAGCTTAAATGGGGCTCCTGGGCCCATGGGCAGGGGGTGGGTGGAGGCCCATTAGCGCTCTCAGGGCCCTGACACTAATAGCACAAGCAAAAAGTTAATCCTGTGAAGAGAGGTGGCAGGTAAGGAGTCTTTGGCACCATGTCTGATATAAAGACCCTAACAGGCATTCACAGAGGTTCTCATCGTTTGCCTTCTTCCAGCAGCAGCTGAGATACAGGACAGTAAGGAGAAGGCCAGAGCAGGAGCGATGTCAGGCACTGCAGAAGCTCCACTTACTTCTTCATGACCATGTATCGGAGGGAGTTGCCAAGTGTGTGGTCCTCATCGTGCAACACAAACGTGACGCAGTTTCCATCTGTCCCATCTGCCTGGACCTGCCGCAAACAGGGAAGGAAAAGATGCTGTAAGGCTCTCTGAGGGAAGGAGCACTAGCCCTAGGGTGAAGAACAAATATTGTGCTCAGCCACGCGAGAGTAAATGGGAGGGCTTGTAGGTCTGGCTGGGCCATCCCTGGCTCACGTCTCGGGTGCTGCAGTGTGACCTTCGCAGCAGAGGGAAAGGTGCAAAATTACAGAGCTCAGAGAAACCTCTCCCTGGTTATCAAAGTGCCTGTGCATCCTTCCTCTCCACAGGAGGGAAGAGGAGCCCTAAAAAAGCTGGGGCTTCAGGACCCAGGCTGGAAAGCGGCTGGGAGTGACCGCTCAGGTTGGTATGATCCCAGGTCCCATCACCAGCACGTGGCTAGACAGGAATGAGAGGGACAGTCAAAAAAATCCCCAGCGAGAAATGCTGCCTGACAGCAAGGAAATCTTATCCCAAACAAAAGGAGCTGTAAGCCCAAATTCACACGCTTAGGATGAGCCTGGGGAGCCCACCAGCGAGCAAACAAACCCCGCAACGCCAGCAGCCAGCCCCTAATCCTCCTGCTGCTTTTGGCTCAGGCGCCCGAAAAGAGATTTACCAGCTAACGCTTCCTGACAAGACTGGTTTGGGATCCCTTCCAAAACCAAGAAGTCACCTAATTAATCGCTTAGCTGTCAGAGGGCTGCTGAGCCTCTGACCTTTCCCCAGGCTCAGCGTAGCCACTGTGGAGCCTGACATGCCCAGACAGCCCCCAACCGCTTCCTCTCTCAGCAGCAGAGAGAGGTTTCAAGGTTAAGTGCGGAGCCAGGCTAAGATGAGTGCAGATTTCTTCGCATCCTGCCCGTGGCCAAATCCTCAACCACTCCAGGGTTTTATAACCCCTCACATTTCCCCTCGGGTAGTAATTCCCCCCTAGCAGTCCCATTCCTCCTCCTGCAGGTACGGCTGCCACAGGGAATTGACTCAGCAGTTCAGAAGGAAAACGCAGACTGATTTCCGTGGAGGAAGAGATCACGCAGACCTGCAGCACAATTCAAGGGCAGGCTCCCTGCGCACCAGCTATCGCAGAAGGGTAGGTGCGATGCAGCAACATCACATCAACAACGGGGATGTTGGACTGATAGGGTCTCACTCGCCTCCCAGCATCTCACAATCCACAACCAAAGGGGTGATTAAAATAAGGCCAAGAGTGGCAAAACCACCTTCCCTTGGTGTGGGACAAAAATGTGTAAGGGATTAGACGCAGGTCACTCGGGCAGCTAGTGGCATGGATGAGACACCCTTCCTGCTCTCCCACTTGCTAGACCCGGCACCCTCCTCCCTCTTCCCAGGAGCAGAGCCTGGCCTCAGTCTCTCCTATCGTATGGCCTTGCAAGGAAGTATTTATTAAAATTATTAGCACCAATCATACTCAGGAGCTTGCTTTTTCCACTATAGGCTCAAACAAGAGCAGACTAACTCAGGAGGCACCGCCTGGCTCCCAGTTTGCTCCCTGCATGCAGTCACAGGGTTAGAAGCGTGCCCAGGTGCCAAAATCCCAAGTGCCCCCCTGCCACGAGACAGGTACAGCTCTGTTCACTGGGACAGCGATGCTCTGGCAGTGTGGTCACACGACGGGAGTTACACCTTAGCTTGGGTGTAGCTCTGCACGCAGGGGAGCAAAGAGATGCTTTTCCAGACGGAAAGCAAATATTTACACCTGAGTTAGAAATGTTGCGTAAAAATGATTTGAAAAATAGAATAACTGGGAGTTTAACGCGCAGTTCTGGGAGTTGCACTGACTTCAGCCTCCTTCCCAGAGCTGAAGGAAGATGTGGGTGTAGGAGGGAAGGGACAGGATGCATCTCAGGCCTGGTGGCTGGGCCAGCTTGTGGGGCTGCAGCAAGTGCCTCCAAGCAGCAGCCCAATGAATTTCAGCTGCCCCTGCCTCCTTAGCACAGCCTGCGTACCCGAGCATTGATCTGGCAGGTGAAAGCCAGAGTACGGCTCTTTCAAGCAGCTGTAAGGAATACATTGTGCTGAACCTGTCTGGTCCACAGAGACTCAATTTCTCTCTCCTCTTTCCTGTAGAGAGTCCTTGGATACAATTCTGGATCTCAGCAGGACCATCAGCTTCACTGCTTCTCATCCGGCCATTGGCCCACCTAGTCAGGTATCTTGCCTCTGGCACAGATGTTTCCAAGGAAAACCAACACAGTCCCCTGAAGGACAGATTCTTCCCTGGTCCCTGCAGCAACCGGGTCTCTGCCCTGAGGCAGAGTCGCATCTCAGAGGTGTCCAGGTATCGTCACAATCATTATTCATCAAAAGAAAACTTGTTCAGCCAATGTGTAAAAAAAGCCCTGATGCCCTGGAGTAGGGAATTCTGTTTGCCTGGAGTTTTCCCTCTTTGGTCACACACTGATTCGCTAGGGTCTTCACCAAATTGTCCTTGTTCTTGTATTATGGCAGAGGCAGAAGGAAAAGCTGATGAGATCTCGAGGCAGCTTTAGGATTGATCAAATTCACTTGAATCCCTCAGAGACAACAGAGATGGAAAACCCTGTGCCTCCCCCAAGATAATCGGGGGTGCCCCCTCCCTGCAAGGTCAGGATACAGCCCCTGCGACCCGGCCGCCCACGCATCGGACACCCTTCCTTCTCTACCAGCTACGCAAGCCTAAGAGCTGCAATCTCGCATCATCCAGAAGCTCTCCTGCTTAGAGGGGCTGTGATTTATGATGATGAATTATTTAACGTTGTATTTGGTGCCTAGGTAGTGCTGTGGCGGATACATTAGCACAGCGCTGAGATAGACGGGATCAGCTAGACACGAACTGGGTGGGGAACAGTCCTACAACTCACTTGTTCCTACACTCACTGCAGTTTATGCATAACTTGTCTTTCATGTCAGGATATATAGCCCTTTGCTGGTCTTCGTGAGCCAACATCGCTTCCTACACGCCCTCCTGTTTTCTGTATGGTACTGCATTCCCCACGGGGGGAATCTGCTGGTTTGTTGCCATGGGCCCCTCTAGTGACTGCAGCTCTTCAAAGACCAATTTCATTCATCACATCAGACAGACAGGATTAGGATTGCGCTTCCTGGCGCAATCGTGACTTTCAGCCTGTGTCCTGCACAACCAGGGAGAAGAACGTGGCTCTACAGAGCCTGAAAAAGGTAACTAGCAGAAGGCAGACCATTGCTAAGAGACTCTAGGGTCTGTTGTGCCATTAGGAAAAGTTATGGGGCTGTAGATTGAGGGACTACGGAAAACCGTTGTATTAAGCCTTCCCCAAAGGCAGCTTGTAAAACCAGGCAACTTACAGAGCCTGCTTGTTTCTCCTGTACGGCTGTCGCGGTGCTCAGCTCTCCCCGTGTCCCACTGACAGACAGTCAGACAGACAGACTGGCGCAGGGAGCACCCGAAGGTCCTGTGCCAGCTCTCCCCGCCATCCTGCCCGGGTGTAACCGCCAGCCTGCAGCCGTTAGGTGAAGCGCAGTGCCATCTAGTGCCTTCTGCTGCCTGCAACGCGTTCTGGAGGTGCACAGAGGGTCCCCGAACTCCTGCCACCGGGCTCGGCAACCTGAAACGGGCGCAAGAGAGGAGACAGGCACGCTGCCGACGGCCAGCAGGCACAGCCACCCGAGGCCTGATGTTCTGCAGTGCTGAGCAATTCGTCTTTAAAAAGCAAGGCTTGTTTTAGAAAGTGTTAGTCCTAACTGGTTTTAAAATAGCTAGTCTTGTCCTCTAGCTGCTTCTGTCCCCTATAGGGCAATCTCAGACACCTAAACGTCCAGAAATGTAAGGAAAAGGTGTATTCCTCTCCGTCCCTCCTATTTCAGGGAACCCCGCTTTGCTTTCCTCAGCTGCTTTCTCCCT